TGGGGGAGCGGCATGAGGGTTGTGCCGCTCTTTCGAAGAGGAGGTCCTCTCTGAGGAGGTCGGGCGGGAGTTTCGCCCCCTCTCCCCGGCAGAGGACCGCGATGTGCGGACAGGTGCGGCATTTGCCGGCCTGTCTAGAACCAGCGAAGCAGCATGTGCACTCCCTCCATGAAGAGGGGGGCACTGCTGCCCTAGCTGGGGGGTTGGGGCCCTGAGGGCTGCCTCCAGAACCTCAGGTGAGACCTGGGTAGCCCTCGACTCCGAGCGTGGCACAAGACCCCTCCGTGCCACGTCGGCGTATGATCCCTTCGACATGAAGGAATACCTTTTCTTTGCTTCGCTATAGCTGATATTTTCTTTGGCTTTAATGGCAATGATTTCCTTTTCTTGCTTCCATGTGGGACAGCCACGATAGTAGGTAGGGTGTGGTCCATCGCAATTAACGCAGTGGGCCACATTCTCGCAATTGTCAGAGATGTGATCCTGACTGCCACACTTTGCACAAGTCGCCTTCCCTCGACAGCTGCGTGTTCCGTGACCAAAACGCTGGCAACGGAAACACCGCTGGGGGTTGGGGACAAAAGGGCGGATGTGGCAGTTCAGGTATCCAGCCTTGATTGTTTGTGGTAGTGTATGCCTCTCAAATGTAAGGATGACGTGTTTTGAGGGAATTTCTACACCATCTTTTTTGAACATAATCCGTTTTACTGCGACAACGCCGGCACCTTGGAGTCCCTCGAGGAGTTCTTCCTCACTAGTGTGAAGGAAGTCGTCCTCAGAGAGGACTCCACGGATGGTGTTCAGTGTGCGGTGAGGGCTCACCGACACTTTCACATCAAGTATGGTGTTCAGCTTGAGAAGCGCTTCACTTTGCTTTTTGTTATTTATCTCAACTAGGAGGTCTCCTGAGTGGAGTTTTTTAGCCTTGTAGGAAAACCCTACAAGGTGTTCAAGTACTTTGGCTACTACAAATGGTGAAAGCTTTGACACAGGTTTCTGTTCATCGAGGGAATGAACAACGAAAAACTTCGTGAAGTTTTCTACCTCTGGTTCTTTTTCAATAGTCTTGTGTTCAGGGCAGCGCCTTTTAACGGCTTGCCCCGAACGGGGTTTGGAAGAGAGGGGCGCCATAAGAGGGCAAGGAGTGTTCGGAATCTGTGGCGCGCCGCCCACCACGGAGCCCAACGAGGGAATAGGTAATACCCCATAACAAATATGGCTTTGCTGGAAGCATTACTCTATTAGCGCTACCCAGAAACTATAACCAAGTGTGGATCTGGACGAGAGTATCTGTCACCACCCAAGGTTAGCCCTTGCCGCCAAAGAAGTTGAAAAGGAAAGAAGAGAAATGAGAAGAGTGAAAAGAAGGAGGAGACAAGGGTGAAAGAAGGGAGGGGATAGTAGAAGGAGTGGCGACTAGACTGAATCATCCTGGCCGGGCCTTACCAGGACTCCCGTCTATGAGAAGCGGGGGCCGAAGTGGTGTATTGCCTCGCCCGGGGGGCCCCGAAGGGTCCAAACCTACCCCGGGCTCGGCTCAACCACCAGGATGCCCTTTTCCCCAGACACGGGTAAGCCACGCACAGTCAGACGTGGGCGGGCGAACCCGCATGGCTCGGGGTCCGTGGAGACGCCACTCTCCAAACACCTGCTTTCACAGGTGCCCCCTGCGGGGTTTTGTCGGGGGGAAACGAAACCCATTTTCGGCTGCCCACTTGCTCATTCTGTTGATTGTCAGTTGCAGTTGACGTTCGCAACTATACAGGTTGCAAGAAGAAACTGAAATTTGCACATCATCCACATACAGAGAATAGGACACTGTCGGTGGAATATTTAGAATATTGGTGCTGAAACCCGGGACAAATATTCATTAAAATAACTGGACGATATTACTGCTTAAAGCATGGAAATGGGCTTAATGGGACGATGCCCGTTTCAAGCTCGCACCGTGGCGAGAGAGGTTGGGACAGTCAGGTCAGGGAGGTTGGGACAAAAGGCGAAAACGAATCACCTGACTAGGTCCCCAACCCCCGTTACAGCACTCAGCAGCAGGGCACAGGAAATGAATCAAAAACAGCATAAATAAAAAATAAAACAATATCTGACAAGATAAAAATATGACACTCAAAAATGTACAATCTATTTTGATGTGAACTATAATAGGAATACACACTAGGCACATTGAAGTATACCGTAAGGTATTTTTTGAAAAGAAACACGGACGCTATTGTCTGGGCTAATTCGAATACACAATAATTTCTGTTAAGAAGATCGGGTATCTGGTAGGATGTTTTTTGTGTACCGTAATTAGTTCTTATTTTAGGTTTTGAAAACTGCTGGTGTCTCAAATTGTAATTTGTTTGCTTAAATAAATATGTTTCGTAAAATATTGCGGGATTCGTGTTTATTTGAGTATGAACTAAAATTGCAACCTTTAGGCAAAAAAGATTGTCTGACGTTAATATTCCATGTTTAATAAAGCTAGGGGAAGTCGATTCAGTCCAAGGTAAATTATCAATTTACCTAACTGCGCGTTTTTGCAATGTAAATAATTGCTTAATATTACTTGCTGTAGTTGTCCCCCAGACCAATAAACAGTAATGCAGCCTCGAGTTCACCTGCTATTTCGCAGTATCGCCGCAGTTCTGGTGGTAGAGCTCTCATGCTCGGCCAGCCCGTAGAGCAGAACTCCAGACGTGACAGGATCCTTCCCGATCTCATCTTTGATCCGTGAGAGCGTGTTGTTGACGCAGGTAACAGATCCACTGTGAGAACTTCATACTCCAGAACGGCTTCCTCCAGGTCGGCAGCTTCCTTTTCTCCTGCTCCAGTAAGTGGCTTGCGTTACAGCACATCTGCCGGGTGGATCTTCTTTACCGGGATGTGGGAGATCGTTAAGCCATACTCCAGTAGTCGCATGCGGAAACGTTGCAGAAGAGGTCTGAGTTCATCTAGACGCTTCGTGGTGAGAAGTGGCACAAGGGGCTTGTGGTCAGTGTCAATATGAAATTGGAGCCCTAGGAAGTATGTGCGGAAATGGCCACTAGCCCACATGATGGCTAGTGCCTCCTTCTCAATCTGGGCATAGCGTTGCTCAGTTTCCGTTAGTGCCTTGGATGCATAACTGGTCATCGCTCGCCTTGGGACTCCTGGAGGAGTGCAGCACCCAATCCATAGGATGAGGCATCGACCAAGAGTGTCAAGTGGTCTCTTTGGTTGTACATTGCCAATGCCGAGTTTGTGATGAGAGCTGCCTTGGTCTGCTGGAAGGCTTGCTGCTGAGCCTCTCCCCAGTACCAGACTGCATCATGACGAAGTAGGTCTCTCAGTGGTTTAGTTTGTCAGCGATAAGAGCAACAGTAGCGGGCACGGCACGCACAACCGAAGCAGCAGTGGGAGCAGCGGACACGCTTAACTGCGCAACAACGCCGGTCCAACATGACGGATCAAAAAGCAGCGGTTCAAGCGGGAAGCAGCTACTTCAACCCGATTTCAACACAACTGCTGGAAAAGTTCGACTTTCACCAGCCGCACACGTGGAAGACGTGGTTCACGAGATGGCAACGCTACAGGATAATCACCGAGTTGCGTCTCCGCTCTCAAGAAACGCAAGTAAACACGTTTACGCCATGGGCCGCGAAGGGGAGGACGTTCTTTGTTCTTTGAAGCTGACTGAGGACGAAGGCAAGAACTACGAAAATGCCACCATGTACCGGTTGGGCAGGGAGTCAGTACTGTCCGGCGAGTTTGCGTTTATTGTTTTTTCCGGGCACCCCCCGTCTCCCAAGCGGTGGCGCCTTCTCTTGGCCACTCGCCTAACCCTCCGACACTTTGAATAATAAGCATCCATTCATTGACGTGCTGTAACACACTGGATAATTTCAAAAATATATTAACTTATTGGTGGTTCCCAGAACTGATGAAAAAAGTGGTTCTTTTGCTAAAGAGATTATATGGAAGGGATAGATTCCAATGTCTAATGCACTACAAGTAGCAATGCCAACGTGTCTAATTGTTTTTCTTCCGTATTCTATGTGCCTGCTTAAGTACCATTCACTTTACTTTGTATGAAGCAAGTTATGAAGGACAGTAGTTGCGCAGGCATGTAGAACACATAAAAAAAGCATTTCAATTTCGTGTCACTGGCGAAAGGCATTTAAATTTTGTGTCACTAGCGAAGAGCAATCGTGATGTTGCAGTCAAGAGGAAATTGCGTCATTTTCTGTTTGTTTTTAATAAGGCGTCACTTCCCGTACGTCGCAGGCCAGCATGACTAGCGGCAATGCCGCACACCTCACAAATGGCGCTGCACCCAATGAGCCGCCATATTCGCGCCTTATGAGCTTCCATGGAAGCTTTGGTACCATTTATACATAGAGCTTGGATTAGTGATGTGCGAATTATTTGCGTTGGTGGGATATAAGATAGACCGTGACGACAGCGGTTGTCCCTAGAAGAAATATAAGACTTCCGCCCCGTTACGTGCGGGGATTTCAACCCAGACTTTTTGTACAATGTCTTCTGGAGCGGCAACATAACAACCAAGGGGGGCTACTACCACGCGCAGACTGTCAACGTGCCAGGTATGCCGAAAATTCTCCCCCCTAGCATTCCTCTTTTTATAAGTAACTGGTTGATCGAAGTGCATATAACCAAATGCACCTTAATTCAACAATTCCAGAATCTGAAGAACTGTGCGATGTAGTGAGGTGAACGAAGAAAAGGCCGCTCTCAAGCGCAAAGTCAACAGAGTTCATCGAGATGCGCAAGAAGCCTGGAGTGGTGAAAATTAAAGGCAGCTTGCTCGGGTATCGGGTTCCAGTGCGCACCCTGCGGAGCTGCAGACGAACGGGCCCCTGTCCCGAAGCGATGAGCCGCGAGGCTCAGGCTTGTGAGGTGGAGTCTCAGGAGAGGTGGCCTTCTAAGAGCCCGAAAAAGAAGGCTTGCATGATTCCGTCAGTCCTACGCCGCTTTAAACAGAGCATTGAGACTATGGACAGGCAAGCTCAAACAACTTCCTAAATACATCTTTACCCGCTGCCCTTTGACAGACATCCACAAGCTTGCGAGTGGCAACGCCCCCTTGCTACTCTCGCCACGTGACGCTGCAGCCTTAGGCCACAGTTCACACAGTGAGAATAAAAACACTGAAAATAGACGAGGGACAGACACAGTTCTTCCTGCGTGAGCTGCAGTCTATCCAACACACTCTGCTAGAAGTACCTAGCCTTAACCCTTTACTGCACCTTGTTGCATATTCGCAACATAGCGATAAACGACGATAAAAACATCTACAAAATGCATTCAGTGCTAGTTCCGCACGTTGTTGCATTTCTGCAACATACATCCGCGAGGCGAGCCGTTCAGTGCTGCCATCTGTACTCAGGCGGCGAAACTGCTCTCTAAAAAGCGTGACAGCCACCACGTGGACGCTCAACAAGTGACACAGGTAAGCCTTGACTACTGCATATCACGTTCTATACAGTGTAATGCAAAACAAAAAAATTTGCGACTCAACTTAATGTCCTGCTGATTATGTAAATACTAAAAACCTTAAGATTATCGACGAAGTTTGTCTTTGGAAGCAAAAAATAGCTATGTTGCACAGATGCAACAACGTGCACGACGGTGTTTTTTCTTCGTAGAGCAGACACAATGGACCCCAAACGGTTTTACAGCCGTGGAATTCCTTCCGACAGTGAGGACAGCGAGCTCTCCGGCAGTGACGATGACTCTGATTGTAAGTTAATGTTTTTTTCTGGAAATCCAACTTTTTTTCACGTAGAGAATAAAATTAGAAGCAGTGTAGGCTTTATTGACAGAGATTTTCGGAAGAGACCATCCTTCGTCAGGTGTAACTACACACAATTGCAAAGTTGTAGGGTTGTTTTCACGCTTTCAAAGAGCACACTTAGAACCGCCAGGGAAGATAGTCCCCTATACAATGTAGAATTTCTCTCCAAATTATTTATTTTACTGCTCATTGTATGAGTTGTACGAGACGCTGTTATTTTTTGTACCCCAGATGTCCAACCCCCTGCAAAATGTAGTGCCAGTTCAAGCGAGGCGAGTACAAGCTCTGACGAAGAGGAAGCTCCCGCAAGCCAACCAGCTGATCAGTCATCAACTCAATCTAAGAGAAGAATTATCTGGAAGAATGCAAGCCTGATGCGGGATCCTGAAACAGTGAAGTTCACTGGACAAAATGAGCTTCCGCAGGAAGTTTCAGAGTTGGAAACACCTTTCCAATACTTCAAGTTCATCTTTCCAGGCGCTCTTATTTCGCTTATTGCAAATGAGAGCAATTTGTACTCAGTCCAGAAGGATGCCAGTAAGCCCCTCTGCACCAGTGCCGAGGAGATTGAAGTTTTTCTAGGCACCTGCATGTGGATGTCTATAATTCAGCTGAAGAACACTAGGTGGTACTGGAGTGAAGCTACCAGAGTAAGCCAAGTAGCTGACCACCTCACGGTGACACGCTTCGAACAGTTGAAGCACAACCTTCACTTTGTGGACAACAGCTCTCTCGGCCCAAGAGATGATCCTGATAGAGACCGGCTTGCAAAGATACGACCGCTCGTCGATGCTGTAAATGAACAGTTGTCGCTGATACCGCTTGAAGAGCACTTGTCTGTGGATGAACAGATTATACCTTTCAAAGGCGCAAGTGCACTGAAACAGTACTGTCCCCAGAAACCAAAAAAATGGGGGTACAAAGTATTTGTTCTCTCAGGAGTAAGTGGCTTCTCGTACAAGCTAGAACTGTACACGGGACAAGAAAACTCAGCCCCAAGACGTGCAGGAGAGCCTGACTGTGGAGCAAGCGGGAACATTGTTGTTCGATTGTGCAGGTTAATCCCAAGAGGAGTCCACCACAAAGTGTATTTCGATAACTACTTCAACTGTCCAACCCTTCAGGTGTACCTGGAAAAAGAAACCGTGCACTGCATTGGTACAGTTTGGATCAACCGAGTAACGGGTATCAGCATGCCATCTGACAAGGAAATGAAACAGAAAGGAAGGGGAAGCTTTGAAGAGAAGGTAGCGACCCTGGATGGCATTCAGCTGTCGTGTACAAGGTGGCAAGACAACAGAGCCGTCACCTTGCTGTCCACCTTTGTTGGGGCAGAGCCTGTCCTAACTGCGCCAAGGTGGAGCCAAAAAGAAAAGGAGAGGCGCGACATACCGTGTCCGTCGGTGATAGGCGCTTATAACAAGCCCATGGGAGGAGTGGATCTCTTAGACTCTCTGATCTCCATCTACCGCGCCCATCTCCGATCGAAGAAATGGTACTTTCGTATTTTTCTTCATATTCTCGACTTGACGGCTGTAAATGCCTGGCTGCTGTACAGGAGGAGTGCCGAGACTACTTCCGATCAACCAACACGAAAGCTCATGCCATTAGCAGAGTTCAAGGTGGACCTCGCCACGTCACTCTGCAAAGCAGGAAAAAATCAACTGAAGAAAAGGGGAAGGCCCAGCAATGAGTCCGTGGAGCAAGGCATCCAGCTGAAGAAGACAAGAGGTCCTTCAGCACCGTGTCCACCTCAAGATGTCAGGATTGATCAGGTATTATCACTGGCGAATTAATCTGTGTTACAAACCTCACTGTTCATACTTCTATGCTCAGGTTGGCCACTGGGTGCTTTGGAGTCAGAAGCGACAGCGTTGCAAGTTTCCTGGATGCAAGGGCATTTGTATGAGCTACTGCTCTAAGTGTGGCACTCACCTGTGCTCAACAAGCAAGAATAACTGCTTTCTTTTGTATCACACAAGCAAATGAGGCCACATCTCTCACTGATGTCTGTAAATACAAGTTTGGCTCTGGTTCACAAATTTTTAGCATTCGGCTATAAATATTTCGTTATTTCCATCTTGTTGCAAATATGCAACATACCTATCTTTTTTCGATATAAATTTTTCCGAAACTTTGAAATTTATTTTAGTGATAGTATTGTGATAACTGTGGTATTCTACTTCTGCTGGAATAAAATTGTGAAAAAATAAAAAGTTGTGCAGTAAAGGGTTAAGCCACTCGTCGACGCTTGCCGTCTGTGTTTTCTCCAAGACTTCAACACGTACAGCTGTTATTGGCCTCTTCGCCCAGCTGCCCGCCACGGCCCAGTACGTGCTGAGCGCCCCAGGCTCCGCCTGGGTGCGAAACGGGTGCGACGACAATGATGTCGAGGCCAATCCAGGTCCGGTTCGCACCCCGTTGAGCATGTCTGGGGTCGCTGCCAACTGTGGCTACTCAGACTGCTTTCCTCAGAATTTCCAGCAGCGGTCGTATGCACAATTTAATGCGGAGGAAGCGTGGTGTGCCAACATAAAAATAGCTTTTTTGTTGTTGTTAGTGTACTGCAGTGATTTTACCAGTTTACATGTGGTTCTCAACAAATTCCGCTTTTTGTGTGAGTCCTTGCAACGAGACATTAGTTTTTATTTTTGCTAACATATCCATGTATGAATGTGTGCGTTCTACGCACTGATTATACTCATCAACTTAAAAAAGCTAGTTTTGCACATAATTCATGCGCTGTACGATGTAGTTCTGCCATATACAGCTGCTACAAAACAGAAAAACACAGTTCTTTTGCATCAGCACCTTCATTACACTGCTCAACAATAGCTTGCCATATTTTCCAAGGTCGATCTGGTAAGTCCTAGCACCAATACCAGACAAGCCATTGGTAATTCAAAAGGAGCCTAACAATGCCTTTCGGTTTGCGAGTTCGTGTGCATGCCATTCAGAGTGAAAAGCACTCCGACGAACCTTCCGTGATCTGTGGACCAGGTGTAACAAGGACTTCCATTCCGTTATGCCTACATTCACCATATTCTCGTTGTACTGATGGCATCTTCATATTCTAGTAGCTCTTTTTAAGCTGAGTGTCGTCATGCACTCCACAAAAAGAAGAGGTGCAGCAGATTAGTAACCATCCGAATGTTTAGCTACTTACCTACAGACTTATTTTTAATGTTGAAGCAGATTACAGTCATGCTGAGATGCTGGGACAAGAAGTTAACTGGACAAGCTCTCCGAGCACTTACTCTCAACGCTCTTGATACAACTCAACTTCTGATGCCATGCTTCAACATGCATAAACCCTGTCCTAGAAAAAGAAATCTCTAAGGTGCCAATTTCCCGCACAGCTGGATCCGAACCGCAGCAGAACACCCTTTAGTCCAGGGTACCGTCCTAGGTCATACCGTTACTGCTGTGGCCGAGGATCAGTTGTAACCATGGTGCCACCTGCTCAGCGACCATGGTGAGGGATACAAGGATTCAGCGTCTGGCTGCTCCTCTTCAAGTGTCATCGTTTTGCACGCCATGTTACACTGATGACAAGTTTCCATATCAAAGTCATATAAAGACCTGATTGTCTCCTTAGTTAGGAATGCCAAGAGTGCAGAAACTTGTTCCAGCTGGGGAGAAAGAGAGGAAGCAGCCAGCACTTGGTTGTATGGGCTTCTGCCTTTTGGCTGCCTCAGGCACTCGGCTGTGTGGAAGTTGTGCCATTAAACACCTTGAACCTTGAACCTTACTGCATATGAACAATTTATTGATTACAGTGTGACTGCTGGAGATAATTTTTGCTCACTAAACAAGGGAAACTGCTGTTCTTGCAGCTCCTGCCATGGAGCTAATCAAAACCCTCATGATCTTGAAGGACTTCGCAACTTGTCTTGTCGAGGAATTATGGTATGGAACTTCTGCCGATCTCTTAAGACCCCAGCTCTCAACAGAACTTTCTTTGCTTTCCGATGGGGGAGTAGACAGGGGCGGGGAGCCACTGCCGCCCTTGTTGCCTTCATAAAACTAACACGCCTGTTTAGCAGGAGGCTCCAGCGGTTCTGACATAAATATATAATCTTCAATTTGATGAACACACACAAAGCATCACAAAATGCTGGCAGAGCAGTTTTCAACAGATGAAGCCATGTAGAAACTCAACTTATTGGGCAAACTTCACCTCAGCATTACTGGACATACTGAAGGATGCGCTCTGGCACATAATGCGCGTGCCCACAGCTGCCTTCAGAGTGGTGCAACCAGTCCATGCCACATGCAAATCAGAAATTCAGAGCCCACATCTATTGTGCACATGCATGATGGAGTGGTGCATGTGAGCAGCTCACTAGCTATCTAGTAGTTTCAGTTATGGCACAGCTTGGGCTCGCCACGATGCGTGCTTTGTTTTGGAATGTGGCACTTTTTTCAATTTTTTTAACACTGACCAATCGAAGCTGTATGTTCTTGGTTGGGCTACTGTTATATTTATTTTGCTTCTTTTTTTTTTTGAGTTTGTGAATTTCAGTAGGTACAGTTTTTTTTTATATTATTAAGGTTTAATGGTACTTTATAGTAAATTAGCTTCATGTAGAGCTGTAATTACAATATTTAATCAATGGTGTCCCCAAACTTAGAGGTTACCTGCATTTGCTAACTTCTAAAGTTGTGAAATAAACTATGATATACGGTAGTCAGCATTGAAATACAATAGGTTGCTCAAACTAATTAAATATTAAGAACGTTCCTAACATATTGTATACCAATTGGACGAATGCCCCCCGATATCCCCCGAATGTCTCCGATGTCGGAGGCCCCAATCTAAAAATTGGGGGCCTCCGATATCGAAGACATCTGATCTGTGGGAGAAGGGTCGGAGAAGGACGTTCCAGAGAAATCCTGGACGCACTTGAGGTAGCGTCGTACATCTACGCGAATTACGGTTCAGAACAGTTGTTGCTCGTGAGGCTGCTTTGTTCTTATCCGTTCGTGGTTGAGTCTCAGAGAGAGGACATTGAATAAGTTTTTAAGAACTCCCATGTTCTCTTTCAAATCTCTTCTCAAAAGGCAGTATGGCCTCATTCTCCGTGGAAAGGGGAATGCCGTCGAACTTAGAACAGTGGAGGGCCGAGATGCGGCCAGGCTTGACGATGACCCGTTTGCTACTGTCATGTGGGCTGTCCGGCACCGTCTGGTAGAGTCCACGCGTATTAGCACTCGGCGCTTTCCACTGACTCCCCTTTGCACCAACAATCTGACTGGCATCATAGACCTGCAAGGATCATGGGAAGATGATCTGTTTGCTAAGCGTGTCGAGGCACTTGAGGCAGAGCAGGACCCGCTCATCAGGGACCTGCTGGAGGCCAGAGCGGCTTGGGTTGCCGACCCGAGCCTCATTAACCCTATGGCCTTGTCCACCACTATAACTCGTGCCTTTGGCACTCACAGAGTGCGTCGTGTCTTTCCGGATCTACCAGACCCAGTCCTGGCCGATATCTCGGTTGACGACTTCTTTGCTGGCAAACGCGGGTCCGTGACGCTGCCAGACATTGGGGAGGCCAAGGAAGGTCTTCGCGCGACCTTGTCGGCAGTGGCCACGCAGCGGGGTCTGGCCGTGACGTGGAAGGGAGATCAACTTGAGGTGGTCGGGACCTTCGACTTGTTTAAATGTATCAACGGTCCCACCGTTGACATACCAGACTTCCCGGCCGAGTGGGTACAGCAGACTCGACATCATAGCGAGACTGTCGGAGTCTCGCGGTCGAGAGGAGCCCTAAGCCGCCGCCGCGGGCCCCATTCGTTTGGGACCCGTTGCTCCGGCTGGTGCAGACGGCGGGGAAACATCAGGAGGGGGGCTGCCCGATCCTGCCCTTGTCGTTCAATGTCAGGGATCTTGTCGCCAAAGATCACAACTCGCTCTCTCCGGCGGAGAGCCTCAGATTCCGAGGAGGCGAAGACGGTGAGGCCGCCTGGCTGGCTCTCCCGAAGAGCAGAAGGAGAAGTTTTCAAAGGCGTTTCCGATGGGCTATTCCCGGACGGCTGAGGAGGTGGCCCTAGCTGCCATGGCCTGCCTTAAGCGGATCGGGGGCAATATCATACCCCCCGATCTCCTCGTGCCTGTCACTCCTGGCCCAGCGGGGTGCTTGGTCCCTTCGTTAGTCGGTGTGGACCAAGAGGGTCGGCGGATAGTCGGCCGGACACCGGGATGGGGTTGGGGGCGATGGCGCAGCCGCGCCGGTGTCTAGGTGAACGAAGGAAGTCGGGCCCAAGGTAGCCATACGTGGTGCGCGTCGGGCTGTCCGGGGGGCCTTGCTGAGAGGGGGTTCGCGGCTAGGTCAACGAACGCGGTGGCCTTCGTTGACCTAGCCAGAGGGGAGACTAACCGTCACGTGCCCGGGGCGTCCCCGGCCGTAGCACCCGCCGTTCATATAAAGCTAACGCTGCCTGGTCGGAGTTCGGGTGTGAAAGCCAATGGCGCTTCGGCCGCATTCGGAGCCCCCCTATGTCCTTATCCATGGATGCGACCTCACGCCTTCAAAACTGAAAACCGGACATGATCTCAAGTTTCAAGTTAAGAACTTCCATTCATCCTACCCCTAAGGCTAGTCTATATAGAGCTATGACTTTCATCGCTATGGGCAGGAGCCAGCTGAGTTTGTATTGCTTGGAAGGTGGAGGGGTGATGTGCTAGGGAGCTAAACCCCGTCCCTGCCTCCCATATTGTCTGCTATAATAGTTTAAAATGTCAGTCAGAGAGAAGCGGCAGGGCGAGGCAATTGCCCCCCTTGCCTTGCCCTCTTCTTCCGATGCCACTAATAGGGTATGCAAACTTGGGGATTCCCTGCCATAAATAAATGCAACCCCTTATGGCTGCCACTGCATACAAAGGAAAAAAAGAGAGATGTGGTTCATTTTTCTCTTAGATGTTCATATCAGAGGGGATACAAACAGTCGTGGGTAGTTGCGGCTGAGTGAGCCAGCAGTGAGTGCTGCCTAAGTGTTCGATTCGGACTCTCGTTTAATCGGCAAGAAAACAAGTACCAGACAACTATTGGAACGTATCCTGTGAATGGCTCCTGGGATTTTCGCAAATGGTCTCTTGTCTTACAAATGAATGCACTCCTATTAACTAAGGGCACTTAGCGAGCTATATATCCGAGGGTAAAAGACTAAAAACAATAGAAAAGTAACAGAAACCAACAACACTTCTACTTGTTCATTGTTTTTAGCGCTTTTTCCC